TAAGAACTGAGCTGTTTGACACTCAAACGCCGACGAGAGAGTCCAGTATAGTAAACAAATGAAATAAAAAGGTCAAACTTTATCTTCCCAACTTCAAGTTTCGCGGATGTAAGTTCAACTGAATTTTTAAAAAGATATCGTGAAGATATTGCGTAAAATAATTGGATATAAAGTTTTTGACGTCAATTTATTTTAAATTTGTACTCTCTTAAGGACCTTACTACATGATATAGTCTTATCTGATGTTTATTGTCAATTAATTTTAGTCATGTCTATTGTTTTATTTTTCCATATTTTCTATTCAGCTGTATCTTACTAATATTACCATAAATACTTTAAAAGGCATTTCGGCATTTTTAGGCAAATGTTTTTCGATCAACTTGAAGAATATTTCGCTTCTTTTTCATATTATTTCATTGTTCGAAACTAAATTACATTTCGCCTAAAAATCTTGGGCGAACATTTGGGCGATATTATTTGTCGCACATAATTTCCATAATTTAAATAACATGGTCCAATAGAGAAATAAATAAATTATCACCAATAACATTGATTTATTTACTGCTGACTATGATCCGTCTTAATGAAACAACCTTTATATATAATTACATTTCGGCTAATAATCTTTGTTTATATTGTTTTCCATTTTATAGTTGAATTTATTTGTATTTTCGTTTTTATTTTCATTAAACATTTTGATGCTGATAGAATTGGTTGAAAGTCTCTTGCTTGCGAATTTAAATATTTGATTGAAAACAGCGGGTGTAATACAGGGGGCCGACACTATTTTTCAGACACTTTATTTTTTCAAGTTTTAGGTAGCACAGGCAGTCTGTACTGTTTTAGTGTAATGGCAATAACATTTAAAAACTGTTACAATACTACAAATGGAAAAGCAGAATTCAAATTAGAAGTATTTTTTATATTTTTTTACAAATTTTCACATTGCACAGGCGACAGTATTTTTCGGACATTGCAGAAACAATGCTAATAGTTTATAGCAGCACCCTTTTTTTCAATGACTTCTATCAGTCTATTTTCATAATGTTCGTACATATTGATAATAACGTCTCTTCGTGTTTCTAGCAGTTTATTTTTAGCATCTTGTATGTGCTGTCACAGTTCAGCCTCTCTGGTTATTTCTGGCCCATCGTAAACAAGCTCTGCAAACATTTCCCATATGTTTTCAATTAAATTTAAGTCTGGACTTCTTGCAGGCCATTCCAGAGTAGTTATATTTGCTTCACACATCCAATTTTTCACTGATTTGGCCACATGGATGCTGCAGTTATCTTGCTGCAAAATAAAATTACTTCTCATTTCTTTTTCTATGAGTGGTAGGGCTCTCTTTTCCAAAAGTTCTCTGTAGCTCAAGCTATTTTGACGTCCGTTTAACCACTCGAGCCACAAGTTTCCATTCGGAAATACCATACCCCAAACCATGACTCCTCCTCCCATCTGTCTCTTGTTGTGAATAACAGGTTCACCTTTTCTCGACCATGTACACTACCCGTCAGGCTCATCGAACTTAAAACGTTTTTCATCAGTAAATATCACTTTCTTGAAGTCGACATGGTTTGTTATCCATCTTTTGGCGCTTCCCAGCCTTGCCTCCTTGTGTTTTCTCGTTAGTGTCAGTCTTTTCTTGATTTTAGCATACTTAAGTTCAATTTCGTGTAGCTTTCTTTGTACAGTTCGAACACTGGCGTCAAGTTCACACTTCTCCTTTACTTTCTTCGCTGTCACCTTTTCTTCAGATGATAACAACCTCGTAACACTCCTCTTCATTCTTCTTTCTGTTCTCTTGGAAATTGTTTTTTTCCGTTCTCTCTTCTTCTTCCGATCATAGTCTGTACTTAGCATGTATTCAACTCTTGACTTCGGTAGCTTCATCTCAGCGACGATCTTTCGGATGCTGATCCCGTCTTCTCTCTTCTTTTGGACCAAACTGATGACTTCTTTTGAATGCATTCTTCTTCAGGATTTTAATACGTTTTCGCAGTGAATGGAAAAGATACTCAAATGTAATGGTCAGGGTACAATTTACCTGCAGAAAATATGCATATTGTAGACGTTCGACGACTAATTCATTAAAAAACCCGGAATTTGTGTCATGTCCGAAAAATAGTGTCGCCTAAGTTGAAGTAAAAATAAAGAAAACATGAAACGAAAGACAAACCCATCAATCAATGTTCATACCATTAATGGACAGTTACTGCTGAACTACCTACTCATCAACACAAAAGCTCTCAGCAGCAAAAAACACCTTTAAGCACACTTTTCAAAGTGTCCCAAAAATAGTCTCGGCCCCCTGCACGAATATTTATTAATTTAGGTAGAAGCATTATTTTTTATAAGTTAATATGTGCCATTAGTTCAGTTAAGAGTTATACCAAAAGAAAATCATTTTTTTAAATTTGTTTTTATATCAGTTGTGAATCCGAGGTTTTTTTTTTAAATTTTTAACAATGTAATTTTTTTAGCCTTAATGAGCTATAGT